CACGGTTTTGACTTTGTGCCCTGGATTACAAAACATGACAAAGAGGATTAGATTCAAAGCAAAACCGTGGTCAGTATATCCACAACGGAAGGGCGATTGTAGAATAAATTACATTTTATTCAGAGGAAGAGTTCATAAATTTATAATTTAACTTGTTTGCTTGAAACTGGAACCAAAAGGGAGATTATTTAATACAAAATGGAATTACAGCATCAATATGGTATTAGTGAATGCAGCGATGTTTACGTCCGGTGTTCATAGATTTCTGTCAAAGCAAACCAACATTGGACAGCCAGCACTGATAACCTGTTTCCAAAAGAACAATTCTATGTTTAAATTATAGCATTCAGAATAGGTAATGGATAATTTATAAATCGTATTTTGCTTCAACTAGACCTCAGGTGTAGACTTACTCTTATTCCGAAAGGAGAAAGGATGTAATCTCGTTTAAATCAAATATACCAGAAATGACTCAGTTTTTGCAGACCGATGTTTTGATATACGCAACAAAATCGAGACGACAGAGGAAACAGTAACTTTGTATAATTATCATCTTCTCGTTGTCTATATCATCTCTTTTCTTCCTCTACTTTACATTTCCCTCCTCATTCTCCTAAGCATCATCATTCATTATATTGATCTTCTCCTTATATCTTTCTTGTACCTTTCTTCCTATGTCTTCTTCAATATCCCCTGCAGATAGTGCGTTCAGGGTCTGAAAATATTGATGATAATGAGTTTATAGTATGCCAGTGTGTGTCATAGTAGTCACACCCTAGAGACTCTTTACCCCCAGGATGGGATCCGTACAACACATTCAGTAAGAGGAAATGTTAGCTCTAGGCCGGTCTTGGTGCACAGACTAGAAAAATGACCCTTTTCCTTGCCGGGTATCGAATCCCAGTCGTCCAGTCCATAGCCAGTAGGGTTTATCGACTGAAACACTCCAGCTCTAATTCTGACTTTCAACGGCATAAAACTGAGTTGCATGAACGTAGCAGACTGGGATAGATTTTGTGTTCTGATGTACTTGTTAGTACTAGCAGGAAAGTAGACTTCAGAACTGTTTGACAAGTAACGCGAAAAGAAATAAAGATGACTTATTAAATTATGAAACTTTTCAAATAAACTTTTCGCAATGTTCCTGACAAGAATTTAAATTAACTGGAGATTTTATAAAATTTTTATTAGGCGTACAGCCAAGTTTGAGAAAAAGCATACGACTGCTATATTTTCATTGCTGCAACTTTAGCCACTCTGCTAGTAATAAAAAGGATATTGTTGGGCTTCTGAAAAGTCTGGCATGTAGGAAAAGATCTGTTAACAATACACGTAATTATTTCGTAAGTATGTTTTAACAACTTTCTTAAATTATTAGCAATTTATTTATTTTTATGTTCATTTAAAATATCTAAATTCACAATTATACATACAGTGCTTTCGAAAAGTCACGACGCAGTTTGTGGTTATGTAGTATGTACAACCTAGCACAATCACAAGCACTGCCACTGGGACTGACAGTGTGATTACGCAGCTCTAGAAATACTGGCATATCAGTGTTAACAGCACAATGGCTTTTCGAACGTCCTGTAGAATGTATGAGGCCTAATCTACATCTTAGATGCAAAATTCCGAAAAGCGAAAGAAACGCAGTATTAAATTGCAAACATAATGTTAAAGACAAATAATAATAGTATTAAATTATAAATATATTACTTTTTGTATAATCGTCAAATATTTTCACTTTACAAAAGAACGTGGTTTTAAAGGCAAAACTGATGTTTGTCCTCAATTCTTCGCGTCTCCTCTCTTTGGAATTCTGATACGTTTCAAACAAATTAAGAACTAGGGAGCTAATCTTGGCTTTAGTACGATCATCTACTGAACATGCAGCACAGAAAACAGGTAGCTCGGGAGTCGCATGAGACTTTAAATGCCTATGGGTTACTCTTCATTAATAAAAGTCAAAATGAACGAATGAGTGTGTTTAGCAATGCTAGTGACTCTCATACTGTGTCTTACTACTAAAGACATTTTCAATTAATTCATACATAACGTAATGTATAATATAATGTGGGCATATATTTAACCTTTCTTCTATAAGAATTATAGCCTTTATTATTTGGTAATTCTATTCACCTCATCATAATTCATCGCGATGGTTACCTTTCACTATATGTAGACACCACAAAATTAATTACAGTTGTTATATGACCATGGAAAACGTAAATATTTAGAATTTTTCGTGCCTGTGCGATCATAACTGAAATATAATTGTTTCTACATCTTAGATGCAAAATTCCTTTTAAATTGTAGGATTTGAGGTTGTCAGGGAGGTGAGTATAAATATGATTGACTTCTGGTTTGTAGTGTTAGGTAGTCTGGTGAAATATTACCATCGGTTCAGAGGTCCTTGCAACCTCCATCATCGGCTTCCTCGTCGTCCTGATGACGGAGGCAGCAAGCACTTCTGAAACGTCCGTAAACTTACACGAGACTAAACGGCGCTAAATCTCAAAAGACAGCTATCTTCTTGCGTTAAACAGTATTGCAATTCACTAACCTGTATGAATTAAATCAAATAATAAAAATACACAAACTTGTACTGAAGAAGTTGATGTTTTTGTTGTTGTCA